AGGAAGTGGTTTGATGTGGTTGTGCTTTCGTCGTTCTGTACTGCTACTGTCGGTATTTGGGCACAGATCCAGTTCAGCTCTGGCTCTGATGCCCAAATACACACATAGATACGTGCCATGTGACTCTGCTGGATGCACCGCAAGCACTTTAGAAGGCACCTGCTATACAGAAGCCTAATTTAAAAAACAAACAAAGAAGAAAGCATACCCAATGTCTTCCTGAACATGTAACAGCCTTTGAGCCAGAGAGCTTCTTCATGGGAACTGCATTTCTGGAAGCAAACCCACAACCTTCTGTGTTTACAGAACTTCATTTATTGCCAAGTCCTTTTGGGAATGTACGTGATCACATCCAAGTAGTAAAAAAGGCAGAGGCCATCCAAAAAGCGTGGATCTAAAAGCTGTTCTTAAAACGTGCAGCTAGACTTTGTGAAGCAGGAGTCTCGCCTAGGACCTCTTGATTTCAGTGGCAGGCATTCAGGTTTAGGGATTATAATGTCTCTGTCTTTGCCTGTGTTGCTTGGGTTTAAAGTAAGTTTTGTTGTTAGCCTTTTTATGGCTTACAACTTTGCATTTGCTCTTTGCTGGATGTACAGGCTGTTATTTTACCAGGGATTGCTGAGTGTAAAACATGATAGATTTGGCAAGCTGTTCTTTTAGATGGGCCATCTTACTGCGAGCTATGAAACCTCGCTTCTATCTCTGAAGCTTTTTAAAAATGCACATGCACTCAAGTTTCATTTGAATTGGGCAAGTTCTGTAGTCCTGATTTCTGCTTTGGGTCTCATTTATCTGCTGGTTTTGCAGCTGGTTTCTTTGGAGTGTTGTGTAGGTAATTCTTGCTGCAATAGAAGAATGAATTCCTGGTTTAATGGCAGCTCTTTGTTTTAAATATTGTTGTCTTCATGTTTTTTCCATTTTTCTTCCATATAAAAATGTATGTGCAGGGAAATTGAGTTTGATTATGCTGAGTTTGGGTAGCGGACACAAAGAGAAAGAGCTCTGTCCAGTTGCTTTTCATCTCGGTGGGTTCCCAAGTTTGCCACTGATCCGTTGAGCTCTATCCATGCTGCCTTCAGGGGAAGCCTTTTTTGCATGTGCTGCTGAGTCTACCCCTGAGTGCATGCTGGCATAAAAAGAAGAGTTTACTGTGCCAGAACTTGATTTGTAAGAGTAATTTCCAGTAAAAAGCATTTCTGTATCTCCTTGTTGCTGCAGAGAAATTCACCAGGGTGTTGCTGGAGCAACAGCAGGACCGAGCCCGGCGGGAGCAGGAGAGGATCCGACTCTATTCAGCTGACCCTTTTGATCTCGAGGCACAGGCCAAGATAGAAGAAGACATAAGGTAGCAAACCAAAGTCGCTTGCAGGCTTTGGAGGTCTTCTCAGTGCTTTTTTTTCCACAGGGTGCTTCCATTCATGGTGCTTCTTCCTTGGAGGATGCAAGGAATGTGTTTAGATCCTACCTTAAGACACACATTTGCTTGCAGGGTGATGCTGTGAGCCACCTTTGCACGTGGGAAGGTTGGGATTCGGGTACATGTAGACACACCCCATCTTTTAGACGTATGCAGTTGAGCACAGATCATGAGGTGGCAGCACCGCTGTCCATGCGTGTGATGTCCTAGAGCTGTCTAAGCTGGTCCATTCTGAAAGAGGAGCACTTGTGGAAGGCACTTAGCCGAGATCCTCTTGAGAGGTGGCACTTGGGTGCTTTGGGCTTGTTTTGAACTGGAGAGCTGGGCCTGTGCTAGGCTCTAAGCTGCGCTCTCTGCACAGCAGCATGGCATCATTTCTCCCAGCTGCCTTCGAGATTTGGTTGCGCGTACTGCTCATTGTTTTGTCTCTCTGGCTAATTCCAGGCTCTGAACATCACTGCTGTCAGAAGAGATGTTCTGTAGAAATATGTTCCACTCATCAGCGCTCGCTCCCTCTTGCTGTCTTCCAAATGTAATTGCATTGGGCTGAGGCTTGATTTCTTAAATTGAGTGATAAATCCTTGAGTCAGAACATGACTGGTGTTTTTTTCCCCAATAAAGAAATATCTTTCTGATACAGGCTCATAGTTGGTCATAACCAAAATTCATTTGTGATAAGAGTCATTCTTGCGTTACGACTGACAAGGTGTTGGTGCCAGATAAATGCTTAGCTTAGCAATGGAGAAAAATATACATTTGTAGATCGCGGAACATTCCTCAGAGGCACAGGAACGCTTTCCTTCCTCCATAGATGAGGTGACAGATAAAGGTGATGTGCCCAGGGCTGTGCAGCTGTTAGGGAACAGTTTGGGCATCTAGTAGTCCCCAGACTTCACACCCCACTTAGTTTCTCTGAACTCTTTGCTTAATTAGATACGCTGTGCCCAAGATTGGTTGGAAGCTATTGCAAGCACCGTATTTTTTGAGACACGTCTCTGTCCTTCAAGTGGAAAGAGAGTCAAGCACAGAGAAAACGGAATAATAGATTTGAGAAGAAAAGTGAAACTGAAGATTAACCACTGCTTATCCGATTTAAGCTTAAATAATAAAAGACAGGACAATGTGTGGCTCTTTGTTTCACGAGTATATGAAGCGGGACAGACTGGCAGTAGGGTAGCAGGGCGAGCCAGGTCTCAGATGCTGTTAGCTGTTTTCCTCCCCCACCAAGAACCCACATCTACCCACCTTGTTGTGGGAAGGCTACCACAGTACAGGAGATGGGTAAGAGAGGAGCTTGGGTTTTTTCCCCCTTCCCCTTCTGAGCAGGAAAAATGAAATGGCATCAAAATTGGAAGCCCTTTTCCCTTTTTGGTAGATAAAGTTATTTCGGATGCAGTCGCTACTGATACCCATCACTTCCAGGATTACTGTAGGGGCTGTGATGGGCTTCTTGAAGAGCATTTCTTCAGTAGGCTTGAATTTGCACTAACGGCTTGTGCTTACGGTGGTGTTCTCACTATGGTTTTGCTCACTCCCCTGCCTTCCTGTGCCTGGAAAAGGAAAGATACCAGGGAAACGTTGGACGACTTTAATGTTCAGCTGCTGTGTGGGATTCCAGTGTTGTAGCTACTGGCAACATCTTCATCGTGTGCCCATAACGCTTTAATTTTAGAGTGACTAATAAATACGCAGGTTTTTCGCTCACAAGTTCTCCAGGTTAACTCTGTGCTGACAGGTTTCTGTTGCAAACAGAAGGTCGTCAGGAGCTGTAGAGTGAGTTAGGCAAGGTGTTGGAAGGAGCAGTTTTCGTGGCTGCTGGGGAGCGACTTGGTGTCTCTGGATTAAGCCAAGATCATTACTAGCAATCCCTCTGCTAAAAAGCCTACATTTAGCTAATGAAGCAGTCTTTGTTGTGGTTCAAAGATGCTGTTTGTAAGGTGGGCTGCAGCAGGTGGGATTACCAGGTTGGTTTGTAAGTCAGAGGGATGCTTATAAGGTTTGGCTGATGAAAGGTCTGATTTTTCTCTCCTCCATTAAATTCAGGCAACAAAACATTGAAGAAAATATGACGATAGCAATGGAAGAGGCCCCCGAGAGCTTTGGGCAGGTGGTGATGCTGTATATTAACTGCAAAGTCAACGGACATCCAGTGAAAGCCTTTGTTGACTCAGGTGATTTGCCCCCGTTTTTGTCTCTTTCTCTGCACTCTCCTTTCCCTCACTGAGGCAGACTGTAAATGCTACAGAAGTTTTGCCCAAAAATTCTGTAATAAAACACTGCGTTACGAGATCTTGAAGTGCCTAATTAAAACCTGAGAGCAGCCTGGGCATTGTTTAAGTGAAACAGAGCAAACTGTTGTGAGAAGCAGTGCACATGAGTGTTTGAACACCCCAGATCAAGGCCCCTGTGAGAATTTCTGGGGCTCCGATGCCACGCGTGTGTCTTATCTCATTTTACAGATGGGGGGATTTCGTATGCCTTTAATGCAGTGCTTCCCATCCACAGCCTTAAAGGAAAAGTACTTGGGGTTATTCCAGTTCTACAGTAATATGTACTTCACTGTCGGTGCTGATCTGCCTGTCTACAGTCATTTCACTGCAGTGGGATTCACAGGAAGCCTGTATGCTCTGATGCAGTTGCCTGATGCAGGCGGGTTGGTTTTCTTGCTGCTGAGTGCAAGATCTTAAGCCCTTCCAGGAGAGAATTTTGATTTGTGATGAGCTGTCAGGATTTAACACAAATTCTGTTGCTGGTAGGTGCCCAGATGACCATCATGAGCCAAGCTTGTGCTGAGAGGTGCAACATAATGAGGCTGGTAGATCGGCGGTGGGCCGGCATTGCTAAAGGTGTAGGGACGCAGAAAATAATTGGTAGAGTGCACTTAGGTAAGTACTGGTGTTCTTCTCGGGGCAGCTTTAGTGGCAGTTCGACTGCATTTCCTGCAATCTTGGGACTGAGGAGTATCTGGTTTAATGCTATAATTGTTAGAAACTCCCACAGAGTAAAATGAAAGTGCATCTGCAATATGTTCGTTTGTCTCGGGCCGAGTACTCTGGAGTACTGTACGGTGGAGTGTTTCATATTCCTTTGGGAAGAGAAGGCTGTCTGTGCTCTTAGGTTTTCTGGATGAGAGAAGATTGTCCTTATTGTCTGAAAAATCAATTCCCTTCACTGTTGTTGCTTCCCAGACTTGTGCTCTAATGAGCTGTACATGGCCCCTTGAGCTTGGAGGGTTAGATAAGCAGTGCTTACGGCTTTAGAGCAGGTCAGCTTTTAAAATAATTAACTTCTTGAGATGAAGGCAGGCCTGGTAGTCCCTGGGGCTTGCACAGGGCTCGACTTTCTGTGACCAAAACAGTACGTCAGAGCTCTGGTTTCAGATTTGCCCTGCAGGTTTGTGCAGACCTTTCCCAGGAGATGGAAGAACAGAAAGTAGATTTGTTGCATTGTATAGCGTTGCAAGGCGGTAACTTCTTTCTCTTGCGTTTCAGCTCAGGTCCAGATTGAAGGGGATTTCTTGGCGTGCTCCTTCTCAATCCTTGAAGAGCAGCCCATGGACATGCTTCTAGGACTGGATATGCTTAAGAGGCACCAGGTATCAAAACCTCTTTTGAAACAGTTACTGGCTCTTCCAGTTTAAGTGCTAAGTGCAACATAAATGCCTTGCCTGTGAATTTATTAGGATTTTTCTGGGGAGAGTTGGTGGTGGATTACCTTCTAGCCAGTTATGAAAGAAGTACATATGCTACATACATCATGGACAGCTATAGAGTGTCTGGCTGGTCCCTGGTTTTTTGCTGTGGTCAAAGATGCTCAGAGGTTTCCAACTGAATGATTTATTACAAATCAAGTCATACAGGGCCCTTTGCTTATAGCTGATGCTCTTGGCCCACGCTTAGCTGCTCGGAGCGGTTCCCATTGAAAATGGGTTGTTTAACCTTGTTTCTCCTTTTTCTCTGGGAATGGACTGGCTCTTTCGCAGGCCCCTGATGTCTCGATGCTCTTTCACAGTGTTCGATTGATCTCAAGAAGAATGTACTAGTGATCGGCACGACTGGCTCGCAGACCACTTTCCTCCCAGAGGGCGAGCTCCCAGAGTGTGCCCGGCTGGCTTACGGGGCCGGGCGGGAAGATGTGCGGCCGGAGGAGATTGCAGACCAGGAACTAGCAGAAGCAATACAGAAGTCCGTAGAGGAAGCAGGTACCAGGAGGAGCCCAGTGAAATGTTAATCTGCATAGTGTTCTTGCTGCGTATTAGGATGTCTGTCAGCAGTCCCCCTTCGCAGCTCGTAGGCGATACGGTCTAATGCAGCATCAGCAAGTAAATGGTGGAGAGAAAGGGGCTTTATTCTTGCTCGTGGCCTCTAACTGCACTTCTCCCTTCCTTCCTGTACGACAAAACCTGTCGGCATGAAGGCAGTCGGGGGTGCTTGCTGTTTAATTTGTGCTCTCCTCGCAACCGCCTACCTGCTCTGGTTTCTTGGCCTTCAAAGGTGTGGAGATACATGGTTGTCTCTGGCACTCATTCAGCTGGGTTGAGTTGTAGTGCCTAGTCAGGGGCATGGTTCAGTTGTGTGATATTTTAGCAGCCTTGTGTAAGGACAGCTTTGTGGAGGCTTCCGCAAATCCTGTTCTTAATAGCTGCAGCATATAAAAATAGAGGAGCTGTAGCAGTAAGTGCAAATCTCTGGACAAAGGTTCATGACAATTTTTAGAAATAGTACTGTTTCAGCATTTTATCCTTAGAATGGCGTTTGTGCCCTTGGAAGGTGAATTGCTTCTCTTCCTGAAGGTTACTGTTGCTCTAAATTTCAAAAGAAGCAGCTGAACGCATGTCTTAATGTCTATCATCAGCCTTAAATGTGATCTGCAAAGAGAATTTTCACCTTCACCATAGTTTTGTTCCCTGTGCCTCTGGAATCCCTAAGCCGCACAAATGCGGACTGACTGGGCTATGGAAGATTTTGGTACCTGCAAAATTTAGTTAAGTGGAGATGCCAGACTAGCTGAAAGCTGAGCTAACCTGTCTGAAACAGATTTTCTGTTTAACTCCTCCCTTAACTTCAGCATATGCTTTTGACTAAAGGCAAGCTTCGTTATTTTTTTCCTTGCTATTACAGTGAAGCTGTGAATACCTCACAAAGTGTATTCCTTAGGCCTTTTCCAAAACTTTTAAAGATAACATGATTATGGATATAGACATAGATAAAGATTTTACATGCAAGTGTTTTAAAGAGACTTTTGAGTTTTACTTTTTCCTCTGAAAGCATGCAGTAAGTTTCTGCTTCCCCCACCATGCAGAACTCTTTGCTGAGTCATGTTTAAGCTGATAAAGCTGATTTCTTCAACATTTTTATTGCTAATTTTTTAAGACTCTAGCATGTTCCTGTTTAAAATTGAAGTGCGATAGCCAAATTTAACTCTCTGTCTATTATATAACCAGTTGTAACTTACTGATGTTTTCTTTAACACTTCCCGATTGCTGCCTGATATTCCAAAGAGTAAGCAGTGACTTTCTTGCAAATAACAAAGTTGTTTACATTAAGGGGAGCATGGGACCGCACTTATTGGTCCCTTTGACCAATTTTCTTCCATTCTAAGAATGTAAGTTTTCCGGAGATGCAAAAACCTCGAGAGGAAGGCCTGGCTTTAACGAATCAGCAAGAAATGGTTTACATGTTTGATTTTTAAAGCCAACTTGAATGCTTATTAACTTAAGTCGCAGCAAGTAGAGAGAAACACAAACATAGATTTGACCCTGCCCCTGTCAGGTTTTGCCACCGCTAGAGGTCAAATTCAGTAGCTTGGGCTCACGTCTCTTCACATAACCTGGCACAGAAAATGTGCCGATGTAAATATTAGTTCTTTTCCTGTTAAAACTTTGAGCTTGATGAAGCCTGGGTTGGTTGTTGCAATATCTCTCCATTTTGGATGAGACTTTGCAGACATCATAGTTGGCTGGACTTAGTTCTCTGCTGAAAGGGTCAAATAAGAAACAAACCTTGGCCCAAAATATACGAGTCTTTACAATAAAAGCATTTCAGTTGAGTGCTTTAAAATGAAAAGTTCCTTAAAAATTACTTAAATCAAAGCTGCTTATGTACCAACACAGTTCTAAAGACCACGTGGCTTTGTTCAGACTAATCAGCAGTCTGCCGTTTTCCATTGATGCTGAGCCCGAGAGGAATGTAAAAGATTTATGAGAATAGGAAATCCATTTTGTGTGTTCACCTAATGCTTGTAGAACACTCGTGCGCAAAACTAAGGTAGGTCTTGTTTAGGTTGACTGTGTGTAAGTCTTCGACATATTCCAAGCCTCTGGCCTACCGGCTTTTGTTGGCTACATCCTCAGATGTCAGAATGTTAATGTATACTGTCTTCCTGTCTTCCAAAACTATTAGCTGCTGCTAGATGGTACCAGGAAAACCAAGTGAAAGAACAGGAAACTGGAGAGGGAGAAAGAGAGAACGCAGTGCAGCACCAAGGAAGCTCAGCTCCCCGCAAGGCCTGTCTTCTGTCATAACAGCTTGAATTTTTGCTGCCTTCTGGTAGATGGTACAACAGAAATCACTGCCTACATCTGTGGGCTATTAAAGTTCTCATTTTGAATGCACCTGGATTATTCTTGAGCTTTATTTAATCCCCCGAAGCCCACTTTAGCAAGCCTCATGATTTCTGTCAGCTAACTTGCTGGTATTTCAACACCTATGGCAAGGCAGCTGAGGTGGTAGTGGAGTCCTGGTATGTTTTACTGTGGTCTAGATCCTCTGCGTCTGCCTCATTTATGTCTGCGAGCTTGCTCTTTTCTGCCAATACGCAGTATTTTCCCCACCACTGCCATTGATAACAATTCTGTGATTATGGGGATTTACAAAACCAGCAGCAAAACTACAGTGGCTTTAGGAGGAAGTGTGTTGAGGTACTTTACCCCATATACAGCTTTTCATCCAGCCAGCCTCGCTATAAGAAAGGCACTGCCACCACAAACGCAACTCAGGCTTTTCCTGATACGGAGAGGAATTTATCCCTGATGGTGCAGTTTGTGGAGAAGAGTTTGTTCCCGGTGTTAGCTGGATCAATATCCTTGATGGGCTGGGATTCAGCTCCTGTAGATACCCCAGGAAGAGGACAATAGTGGGTCTCGGAAGGACGACACTGAGGAGTGCTTGGCAGAATACCAGCTACTTCTGCTGTCTAAATGACTGCAAATCCCTGATGTGTTTGACTGATCAGACCCTTATTACTGATCCACTGAGTCAAAAGAGAGTTCTGCTTCCTTTCTAAAAGACTGGCTTGGGAGCAGAGAGCATGAACATAATCCTACTGCGTAGAAACAGGAAAAGATCCCTCTGGTTTTCATCTGTATCCTGTGTCACAAGCCTCTTTGCCACCCTTGTGAAAGATGAGCAGTCTGAAAATCTGCAGGATAATTCTGGCTTTTTAATACTTTAGCATCACCAAGTTGTTGTAGCTGCATTAAGACCAGATGTGCAACCAACAGAAGGGATTGCTCTGTACAACGGCTGCTGTATTTTATACCAGAGCGTATCGATCAGAGGTGTGGTATTGCAGCACGTACTGCACCATTTTTATTTAATGGAGAGTAAAAGAAACAAGTAGCTGAGGTGAAAAAGGCAGATTTCTTCCATGTTGTGGAACTTAAAGGAAATCCTGGCTGTATATGTGAGCATGGTTAGCTGTCCCCCAGTACACCTGGGTATCTGTAAAAAGAGAGAGACTTAAGGGAAAACAGTGGTATATGTTTAAGACCACTGAGTTCGGAGGTCTCTGGGAAGGGAAAGGGAACTAATGCAACAAATCATGCAGCAGAAAATCTGGATATCCGACACTGGACAGGGTAGGTCTTTAAAGGAAGAACAGGCGCTCTTACAGCAAAGGTCATAGTAGTGATTTAACGAGAGCATGAGAGCTGATACATTAGCAAGATTAGACTGTTCGCAAGATAAGTTTACTTATTTAATCTCTCCTGATAACTAGAGCCAGTGTTTGGTGCTACTGATAGAGATCTGCAAGTCATCCGTTCTCCATGTGGAGAAGGAGACAGTAAGCTGGGTTTGACTTCTGGCTGGCTCTTCCCTTGCTTTGCTTTTCCCAGCCTCAGGCAGCAGTTCCTTTTGGGGATTTCTGCCTTTCACCCTAGGATCTTTACGCTCCCTTCTGCAGTGAGCTGGTGTTTGCTCACCTTCTCTTGCCTGTGATGGTGCTGCTGGGAACACAGTCCAAGAATTGTGTGGCCATCTCAGTTCTCATTTCCCTGCAACGTGCCTCCTGAATATCTTCAGCCGTACAGAGGACAAACCAGTACGGTGCTAGACTTGTGCCTTGTGCCGCACATATTTTATCAAGTGTGTAGTATCACCCACAGGCCACTCTGCAGCATAGATAGTACAGAACACCCTTTAAATTGTTCTCCAGCAGAGTTATTTTTGACTTGACCTAACAAATTTCCCCGGGGGGACTCCTTCTGCCTGCACACTGTCTTGATGGACAGTCGGGAGGGGAGCCACGAGGTCGCAGGACTAAAGCCATGCATGTGGTGTGCTCTGAATGCTAACCCGAGTTTGGTGTGTTTGTTTCCTAATCCAAACAGAACGTCAGAAGCCTTGATGCATGTAGTGTGTGTTTACTGCAGCTGGAGTGGGCCACAGACCAGGTATTTATAGCCATTGGTTTGTAAGTTTTCACTACTACAGTGGAAACAGTGGTTCTCCTGTGTCCTAACTACTTCCTTTCTTTCTGTCTTCTGTTAGAGAATAGTGACAAAGAAACTACCTCACTGGAAATGCCCTCATTACCAGCTTCTGATGGGTTTCAAAATCCAGTCCAGTCTTCAGGACTAAATTCCAAGATCTGTAATCCCACAAATCAATTACTTGATCGTTCTGTCTCTGCCCCTGCTTCAATTTGCTCATCCGAATCTAACCTCGCAGAGCCCACTGATCCTAGAGCTGTCAAGTCTTTTGAGTCTTCAACTGAATGCCAGATAACCCCAGAAAAAGAACATCCTCTCTTATTACAGCATCTCTCCAATAACGCTTCCATGGCAAATAACGACCCTTCTCCCCAGACAGGGGAGGTAACCTGTTGCAATCCAGCTTGCCTTTCACAGAAGACACTCAAAGAAACATACGTTGCTGACAGTCTAAAGGAATGTAACGCTAAAGAACAAGACCACGGTCAGGAACATCCTTTGGAAGTGACAAAAGAAAATAGTTTGGCTGACACTGCTGCTAAGCACGGGCAAAATAAAGATGTCTGTCTGTCTTCAGAACAGGCAGACCAGGAGCAAAAGCATGAGCTTCCCATAGACCATCAGACCTGCAAAGAACCAGAAAAGGAACATCTGGAGGAGCAAACTGAGACAACTGACCCAGAACCTCCTTGCCGTGTTGGTGGGGTTGAGAAACCTGTTGTGGAAGAAGCCAGCCAGCCAGAGAATCCTCCTACGGAAATGAGAGGAGATGGACTGGAGAAAGCAGGCCTTTCCTGTGTGAAAGGGAGTGTGCAAATGTCAGCCTCCTGTAGCTGTGTGCATACGGAAGCCTTCATGGAAATAGATGTAGCTGAGCAGTCTGTAACTGAAACACACAGCTCAGCAAGCGAGCAGAAGCGGCAGGCTGAGAACAGAAGTGTATCTGACCTGAACTCGGACTCCTTTTCCATGGAAGTTGAGTCGCTGAAGACTGCATCCTCCTTGAGTGAACTGGTTTCCACCAGTGATGTCCCACAGTCTAAAGGCACTAGTGAAATTCGTGCAAAGTATAATGACTTGTCTAATTTGGCAGCTGAAGACAACTGTTCCCCCTCCAGCATCCATCAGCTGGACACGGATCAAGGTAGGCCTTC